ACAAAAGCATCCACACTTACAAAGATGACGAGAGAATCAAGAAAGGGGAGAGGATCGATGATGAGCTCATCAAATCCATTGAAGACTCAAAGTTCTATATAATTGTTTTCTCCAGGAACTATGCATCTTCATCTTGGTGCTTGGATGAACTTGTAAAGATTATGGAGTGCCAAATGATGACTGAGCATACTGCTTATCCCGTCTTCTATGATGTGGAACCCACTGAAGTCCGCAACCAAAGTGGGGAATTTGGAAAAGCTTTTGCTAAACAAGAAAAGAAAGAGGCTGYTGAAAAATGGAGAGAGGCTCTAAAAGAAGCAGCCAATCTTTCTGGGTTTGGATTGAAGAACACTGTAGATGGGTAATTCATCCATATATAATTGTTTTAATTCGTATTCACATGTAAGTTACATATCTGAATTTAAATGAATTGTCCATGTGGGATTTTGAGCAAGCTAATTTTGTCTTCTTTAAATACACAGGCATGAAGCTAAATTTATCCAAAAAATTGTTGAAGAGATCTCACAGGAGTTGCGATCCATCAATTTTAGCGTCGATGAAAAATTAATTGGCATGGAGGCTCGAATAAGGGATGTTGTTTCATCTTTAGAAACAAATATTGATGACGTTCGAATGATAGGAATCAAGGGGATGGGAGGTGGTGGGAAGACAACTTTGGCGAGAGCTGTTTTTGATCGAATATCCTTTGGGTTCGAAGGTAGCAGTTTTGTTGAGAATGTTAGGGAAAATTCAAATCCGAATTTATCCCGTTTGAAGAAGTTACAGAAACAAGTTCCTTAAAGATATGTTAAATGCCCATGACATCAAAATAAGTAATGTTCATGATGGGAAAAATATGATAAAAAAGATGATGAGTTGTAGGAAGGTTCTTGTTGTTCTCGATGATGTGGATCATATAGACCAACTAAAGGCGTTAGCGGGTGAGCTTAATTGGTTTAGTAAGGGAAGTAGAATTATCATCACAACAAGAGATGAGCAAGTGTTGGTAGCACATCGAGTKARCTTGATACGTGATRTCGATCTTTTATCTSAAGRGGAAGCCATTTGCCTCCTCAGTAGGTATGCRTTYGGGAGASAGAGTCCAATTGAAGAGTACAAAGAGCTATCRGGACAAGTGGCAAGTTATGCTGCTGGACTTCCCTTAACGATCACAGTTTTGGGTTCGTTTCTGTGTGGTAAAAATGAGCTTGAATGGAAAGATGCTATAGAAAGACTAAAAACAATTCCATTGAAGGAAACTTTAGAAAAGTTGGAGTTAAGCTATATTGGTCTAGAGGAGGATTACAAGGAAATATTCCTAGATGTTGCATGTATAWTGAAAGGTTGGAAGAAAGAGAGGGCAATCGAAGTGCTTGAAAGCTGTGGATTTCATGCTAGAAATGGTTTAAGAGTTCTTGAGCGAAAATCTCTCATAACTATTTCTAAAAGCGTGTATGGTGAGCACTTGGGCATGCATGACCATATAGAAGAAATGGGCAAGAATATTGTTCGCCGCTTGCACCCGAAGGAGCCTTACAGACATAGTCGATTGTGGATTGCAGAGGAAATTGAAAACATATTGGTTAATAATCAGGTAAAGATCAATTTTATTTGTAGGGTTGAGGCATTTTCATTTGTTATGACACAAGTTTCATGGTCACTGCTTTTGTATCACAGGGTACTGAAGCAACAACAGGTATAGAATGGAGTATAGACTCAGAACTCGATCCAGAAATTTTGAAAGGCCTTGGAAACATGAAGAATCTTAGATATCTTCTGCTGGATCTTGATTTCGATTTGGAATGTGATGAAGTTAGCCAATACCTTCCAAATGCTTTACGATATCTATGCTGGTACGGGCACCCTTTTGGATCCTTACCCAGAACATTTGAAGCAAATAATCTTGTTGGACTTGACATGCAGCAAAGCAGAATTGTACAAGTTTGGGAAGGGGGAGAAAGAAAGGTAGAATAATAGTCCAATACTAACTTGTTTTGCATGATTCATTATAATCTTTCACTTTTTGGTTTTGTTTGGTTTGGTTTGTTACTACACCCGCACTTACTCTTTTTTTTTTGTTTATGATAGGTTCTTAAGAACCTCAGATTCCTTACTTTTAAATATTCAAACTTGAAGAGCCTTGATCTTGGTCTTTTTCCGAATCTAGAGAAATTAAAAATTGAAGGTTGTGATGATTTTGAAGAACTTCACGTTCCCGTTGAATGTCTATGGCTCAAATCCCTTGTCCTCAATTCTTCTAAGTTGAGGACCCTTGACTTTCGAGGGAATCCGTATCTCGAGACATTAAGTCTTGTTGGATGTGATGATTTGGAAGAACTTCACATGCCCGTTGAATGGCTAAGGCTCAAATCCCTTGTCCTCAATTCTTCTAAGTTGAGGACCCTTGACTTTCGAGGGAATCCGTATCTCGAGACATTAAGTCTTATAGGATGTGATGATTTGGAAGAACTTCACATGCCCGTTGAATGGCTAAGGCTCAAATCCCTTTACCTCAGGTCTTCTAAGTTGAGGCCCCTTGACCTTGAGCGTTTTTCTCAAAGCATTTGTGGTTTACGATATTTAAGAAAGCTTACACTCGAAGGTGGTATTCCAGAGTCACCCAAAGACCTTGACCGATTGGAATGTCTAGAGGAGCTAAATTTGTTGTCTACGAAGATTACACATCTGCCGGATAGCATTTGTAAGCTAAAACATCTGAAATATCTCAAACTTGATCGTTGTTGGTTTCTTGAGACGTTAACTGAAGATCTTGGCCGATTAGAATGTTTAGAGAAGCTAATCCTATCGGAGTGTGTATTTCTACGACATATTCCCGACAGCATCTGTAATATGAAACTTCTGCGGTTTTTTCTTCTCCCTCTTTGTATTGCGATTGAGAAATTACCGGAGGAAATTGGACAATTAAAATGCTTAACAGAGTTAAATATAGAAGGTACAAACATAAGACATCTTCCTGAAAGCATTTTTGAGTTGCGATTTCTGCGCATTGTTGGTTATAGATGGCTTCTTCAGTCGTATGGTTTTACATCCGAGATACAAACCTCAGAAGACGAAACATTCTGCTACATAGAGCTGTGAATGACGTTCAGGCAGAGGCAACCACAACAGAAGTCTCCATGGATGATTTTGAGAGGTCCAAAGGCCAAAAAAGCTAATTCACAAACAACTATACATTGTAACAGGTGATTCTTTTTGGTTTATGTTTTGAAAGTTCCATTATATCTAAGGGGCCGTTTACCAAACACTTACCTGGTAAGCGTTTTTCGGTAAATTTAACACTATCATTTACTTACCGGGTAAGATTTTAGTCAACCAAAAAACGATATCGTACGCAACAATTTACTTGGTAAGCGTTTACCATGGTAAGAGTCGTAACCCTCACATACCGGGTAAGACTCTTGGTCTTTGTCTCGCTCTTACCGGGTAAGATTTTTGGTCCTTACCATATATATTCATCCGGTAAGGTAACGTAGCTTGATGTTCATTTACACAAGTAAGCGTTTGGTAAACAACCCCTAAATGTTACATTCTTCCCTACATATAATCTTCTCTAACTCCAACCTGTTGCAACTTAAAATTCCAGTGAAGATTAGCCAAGCATTCTACAATCTTAGCAACAAAGAGTGCAGGACTAGAAGAAAGAACCCATTTAAGTCTTGAAGTCCATTTAGATGGTTGCTGATCGGGTTTCCCGAGATACGCGCAAACAGTGTCTCCCGCGGCTGGTCGTGCCGTGATTCACGTCAAACACTGTGTGCTCGTTTTCTTATCTATTAACGTAGTCCATATCTACCACTGCCCACCACCACCATTTTCACGTAGTCCACAACACCACGCCCACCATCGTTTTTCCTATCTAATTAACATGCTTTTAGGACATTCTTAACTTATTTTTATAGGGGACTTGTCTTTGTAAGACATATACTACAACAAAATCGGGTTTATAGAACACTCCCAACTTCTAAACGTCCTAATGGTTCTCTTTATTGGACTTGGTTAATAGAATCAAAAAATAAAGTGTACATCCTATCTAAATATGTTGTAATAAGTTTATATGACGTTTTTTGATGTCTTAATAAGTTTTTTAGGACACTTTTAATATAAAGCTTTCTATTAGCAATTTTATAGGACATCATTTGAAAAACCGTCCTATAAAACAAGTGCTCTATAAAAAAATTGAGTTTATAGGACACTTTCTCAAAAGTGTCTTACAAAGTTGCTAATGCGATGCTTTATATTAAAAATATCATAAAAAGCTTGTTAAGACACGTAAAAATGTCATATAAACTTTTACAACGCCTTTAGATAAGACGCTTTATATTTTGGTCCTATAAATTAAGACCTATAAAGCGGTTTATTGAGACGATTAGATATAGGGGGCGCTCTATAAACCCAATTTTGTTATAGTGGTTTGTTCAAATAGTGTCGTATAAAATAACTAATATGACTTTTTTGGGACAGTTTTCAAGATCCGTCCTTTAAAAAAAGGCTAATACGACACATTATTTTATGAGTCCTATTTGATTTAGTTTAATAGGACTCTTACTTTTGATGTCTCTTAGGGCCTGTTTGGCAGTTGCTGAATGTTTGGTGTATAATGATTAAGTGGTCAGAATGATAATTAAGAGACTCTTATAATATAGTGTAAAATGAAAATATAATTGTTTGATAATTATTCAGAATGAAATTAGGGTGTTGAATGGCTCAAGGATGCCCAAGATACAAAATCATTCAGAAGGTTTTAGAACCATTAAGAGGCAGACTTTTTTCTTGCCAAACACGATTCACCTCTTAACAATTCAAAGACTGCCTCTTAATGGACTATTAAGAGGTAAACAAACAACCCCTTAATGTCCTATCATGTAAGTCTAATACGGCACTTTTCAATGTCAAATTATTTTAGAGTCTAATAGGACACTTTTTAAGTGTTATATTATTTAAAAGACTAATAGAACATTTTAAAGTGTTATATTATTTTAGAAATTAATAGGACATTTTTAAGTGTCGTGTTATTTTTAAAAGTTAATAAGACACTTTTCATTGTTATGTTACACTTCATCATGATTTAATAGATAATAGACCCCGTTAATCTTGATTTTTGGTTGGTGCAAAAAGAGGATAGATTTTGGTGTAGTTTCTTTGATCGTCCAACATTTCACTCACCTTCAATCTTGTTTGGGTTGCTAATTGTAGAGATCAAAAGGGTTCAAGTTTTCATGAAGTCACGTTGTTCCAGATACGGAATTATGATGATGAAGCTGCAGCCCAAAAAAGCCGCCACGTCTGGTGGTTTTCTGGGATCGATTGGAAAAACTGTCGAGGAGAGGGAGACGGGGACGAGAACCAGAGGACAGAAATCGGAGGGCAGAACCAGAAACAGAGAGAGAGCAGAAGTCGATCGATTGAGTGGAAGCAGAACTGGAAACTGTCGAGATGGATGGAGCAAGACATGAAGCCAATCGAGAGAGGGATCGATCAGCAGAGAGAGGGAGCAGAAACTGTTTACTCAAAGTCATGTTAATAGTTTACTTGAAAGGCAGGTGATGTAATTCCTAGGAATAGAACATATCATTAATTATTATTTAGGATGAATTACATGTATAAATCATCATGCGTTTGTTAAAACTCTACCAGTTATCATTATTGTTTCTAAATTCCCAACGTTTTTCCTATCTAATTAACATGCTTTTACCACATTCTCAACTCATTTTTATAAGGGACTTGTCTTTGTAAGACGTTCACTACAATAAAATCGGGTTTATAGGACGCTCCCAACTTCTAAGTGTCTTAATAGACCTTTTTACAGGACTTAGTTGATAGGACCAAAAAATAAAGTGTCATATCTAAAGGCGTTGTAATAAGTTTATATGACGTTTTTTGACGTCTAATAAGTTTTTTAGAACACTTTCAATATAAAACGTCACATTAGCAATTTTATAGGACACGATTTGAAAAACCGTCTTATAAAACAAGTGTTTTATAAAAAATTAAGTTTATAGGACACTTTCTAAAAAGTGTCATACAAAGTTGCTAATGCGACACTTTGTATTAAAAATGTTCTAGAAAACTTGTTAAGACACCTAAATGTGTCATATAAACTTACTACAACGCATTTTGATTAATTGGACGCTTTATATTTTGGTCCTATAAATTAAGTCCTATAAAGTATTCTATTGGGACGCTTAGAAATTGGGGGCGTCCTATAAACCCAGTTTTGTTGTAGTGGTTTGTTAAATAGTGTCCTATAAAATAACTAATATAACATCTTTATTTTAAAAATGTTCTAAAAAATTTATTAAAACGACTAAAAACATCCAATAAAGTGAACACCATAAACATGTAATAATGAAGTTTATGGTCTTCTTCTTTCTAGAAAATAATCACGTCATTAATTTATAACCCCACCCCA